TCTGTTCCTTTGATTTTTTACATCCAGAGATAATCCACCCGAAATCGGTTTTTTGGCCGAGGAGGCCATTTATTTTGACCACTCCACTCTGTAGAATGTCAGTATATAGATCTGCTCCAATAATTAGATCTACACGCCCCGGCTTATTAAAGTCGGGATCGGCCAAATTATATTTTTCCCATTTTGTTTTGTCAACATTAACTTTGCGGGCTGGGAGAGCCCTCATAAGTTTTGGGAGTACTAATGCTTCAACTTTTAAAATTTTTTGGGAAGCATTACATTTAATTGAAAGATGAATTTTGTGCTTCGAGATGCACTTTCCTGTGGAGGATACTCCACTGATCTCTGTTTGAGATCGAATTTTTTGTAATTTTAGAATCTGCACAGATTTTTCAGAAATTATGGTGCTTTGAGAACCACTGTCAATCAAAGCTCTGAAATTTTCAAACCCTCCATTCGAGGATTTTATTTGAACGCGTGCTGTAGCAAGCAACGCCTGTTCGGATGTCCTGCAAGTGTTAACCTTTTCTAATTTTTGGTTAACGTTATAATTTAGATGTAGCATGCTGTGGTGATTTTTCTTGCAAATAGAACATGAAATGTCGCTTTGACATTTTTTATTAAATGAGTGTTTCAGACATTTGAAACACAAATGGGCATTTTTTACTTTTTCCATCCTTTCTGATGGATTTAAAGCCTTAAATTTCTGACACTGGAATATAAAATGTCCCGAAATTTTACATATGGGACAATTATTAATAGCTAATTCTCTTATATTGCTACTATATATTTTTTTTTACAGGCTTTTCATCCTGAACTGAGCTTATCGAACTTAGCCGTTGCTCTAAAAATTCAATGACGTCCGATAACGCTTGAATCTCTTAGTTTTTTTAACATGGCTCTCATATAGTTGAAGAGCTTCTTTGTTAAACTTCCTAATTATTATGTGTGCAAACATAATATCCACTTCATCAGAATATTTTGTGCCTTCAATTTTATCATATGTATTGACTCGTTAATCGTGTCAATAAATATTTTTAGTTGCCTAACTGAATCAACATTTACGATTTGAAGATCCAGAATGCGGTTTAATTGGTTGGTTAATAACTCCCAAGCGGCCTCATAATTCTCCCCAGATCCCAACAATAAGTGAGAAACCACATTTCTGGCTTCTCCCTTAAGTGAGATCTTAAGGTAACTGAACTTAAAAGAAGGACTTAGATCCTCTCTTAAATGAATGAGTTCATTAAAAAACTCATAAAACAGGTCCCAGTCTTTGGAATCTCCATAGAACGTGGGTACCTGAATTTTAGGTAACGTTGGCAAATCATCAATTTTGTGATTTCCAACGTTAACCTTTCCGGGCACAATTTGTTCGATTTTTTTTTTCATTGTGTTGGTTATTGACGAGATGTCGAACTCTAACTCGTTCAACTCCTCGTCATAACCCATATCAGTGACATCTACTTGGTCGACTTGTTTAAGACCTACTATTTTTGTCCAATAAAATTCTAATTTCTGGACTCTAATCTCAAAAGTTCAAACATTATCTAGCTTAATGTCTTCAAAAGTTTCTTTTAAGTATTGCCGTACCTGTACTATTGCCCTATCTAATTTATTGACAACTTTAGAACTACTGGCCTCTAAGTGAACTTCGTCAGCTTTGTTTAAAACCCTATCATCATTTTCTCATAATGGTTCTTCTTGAAGTAGTCATGATCGACTACTCCAATTTGAACCAAAACCGAATGATTTTGAACACATTCGGACCTTAATTCCTCATACTGTTTCAAATATTCGAATGATAGACTAGGTAGCTCTTTAAGGGTATGAATTAGTTTTGTAATTTCTACTTGCCTTTTTATTAAGGCAATAGTTTCAGTGGACAACATGGTTTTGACTTTAGTTTTGTATATGTATATATATAAAAATAAATTGCTGTTCGTTAGTTTTGCTAAAACTCAAGAGCGTCTGAACGGATTTATCTTTTCTTAATATTAAAATGCTCGGAACTTATTAAAATAAATTTTAAGATTAACTTAGCTGGTGTCTTTGTTGTCGTCACTGCCGTTGTAGCCGTTGTAGTTGTTTTAGCTGATGCTGTTATTGCTGATGCGCTTCTTGTTGCGGTTGTTGTTGCTGATGGTCGTTGTTGCTGCTGCTGCCGTTGTCCTTGTCTCTGTTGCCGCTCCTGTTGTTGATCCTGCTGGCCTTCCTTCAGTTGTCGTCTCTTTGAGGGTTTTCGTTGTTGTTTTTAAAGATGATTTAAGGTTTTTTTTTTTTAAATCTTTTTATTTATTTATTTTTGAACAGTTAAGATTGGGTTTTTTTTTTAATATTTGTTTTTTGTCACTGATAGTTTAAATATATATGTACTTTTTTTTTTTACTTTTTCGATGTGTGGCCTCGAATACGCCTGATTTTAATTAATCACTTTTTTTTTTTTGTAAGGCCCCAAAACGCCTCAAAATAAAATTGTTCGAAGACAAATTATTATATATTTTTTTTAATTTAACTTGTCGGTTTCTCAACCACAATTTCACAAAAAATTTTTTATTTTTTTATTATTTTTGAAAATTGCTTTAAGCAATAAGGACTCTTATTTGTACTTTTGCTTTTAAATTTATACTCTGTTTCTTACCATAAAGGGGAAAACAAGAGTCAATTAAGGTGCTGGCTTTCCTCTAAGTCTCTTACCACTGGTGGGGGAAAACTGTAGAGTTGCTCGTAGGACCAAAATGTTAAGGATAGTAAATAAATACAACCTTTTTGTTTGAGTTCTGTATTGAAACTCATTCATTTTCATTTTATTTAAAACTTCTTGACAAGAAACTTATGTGAAAATCTTATTCTAATCTTAGCTATGGTCTACGCAGAGACCTAATCTTTTAGTCTGGGCGGGGGAGTTATTTATTTTGCCCCCCGCACAAGAACTCTCGGTATTAGATAGCTCAAGTGGCCTGCTGTTACAGATTACAAGTGCATTTGAAAAACAAAACCCTTGTCGGGTCCCAGATCGTAAATTATGGCTATTGATCGAATTACACAGTTCTACATGACATGTGCAGAGCTCATTAAAACTTAGACATAATATTTATCAGTGTTCGTCTGAACACCTGCTGAGCATTAAAAAGTTTCATAAGCTCATGAATATGACTTTTATCGTAAACTATATTCGTTGAAAGCATGTAAAAAGTTGAGGGAAGTGATTTGAAACCGTATAAGGCATATACATTCTTGGTATCATTAGCAGAGTCAATCTAGCCATGTCCATCTGTCTGTTCGTCTGCTTCAACGTCGAGATCTTGTAAACTATAAAAGGCAAAAGCTTGGAATTTAACTAAAAGATTCAAGTTATACCTATGCAGTGCAAGTTTATTTTAAAATGTGTCCAAGCCCACTCTAACGACAACAAATCCCAAAACTATGTTATGCCGCTCTGGAACATGGTAGAGGATAGTTATTGGGTAACATATGTATTTTATAGTATATGTTTAGCGAGACACCAAACATTTTCTAGTTTAAGCATCTAAGTTTGAAAAACTTGTCACGAGGGTGGGGTAGTGCACGCTGTTAGCTTGTAATTTTGGCTCTTCAGCTTGGCAGATGGCAACGATTGATTAAATATTTGAACGGAAAATTTAGGAGTTTGCTCCTTCTTTTCAAAATCATTAACCAATATTATTTTTCTTGCCTAGTAAAAAAGTTTTATTTTTTTCTTTGTATAGGATGAACTGACTAAAGAACAAACTGCTTGTAAGTAACTGAAATAAATTAAGCAATTGTTTAAGTTTGAAGAATTATTTTTCTTATAGTACTACGCAATGCATTTAATGCTTTTGATCCAGAAAAAAATGGTTACATCAATACGGCCATGGTTGGTACTATTCTAAGTATGCTGGGTCACCAACTTGACGATGCTACTCTTGCTGACATTATTGCTGAAGTCGATGAAGATGGATCAGGTCAAATTGAATTTGAAGAATTCACTACACTGGCCGCCCGATTTCTTGTGGAAGAAGACGCCGAAGCTATGATGGCTGAACTGAAAGAAGCTTTTCGCCTTTACGATAAAGAAGGAAATGGCTATATCACTACAGGAGTTCTTCGCGAAATTCTAAGAGAACTAGATGATAAATTAACTAATGACGATCTAGATATGATGATTGAGGAAATCGATTCAGATGGATCAGGAACAGTTGACTTTGATGGTATACAATCTCAAACATTTTGGTTTGTTTAAGATTTCTTAAGAATACTTTTTAAATTATAGAATTCATGGAAGTAATGACTGGTGGCGATGACTAAAAAACTTGTCCACGGAATACCTTCTCAAAATTATTCTTGAAAATGGAACAGCAACTTTTATCGAACACTGAACAATATTATGATTAAAGCTGTTATAAATAAGTGAACGCGCAGTAATTTTTACATTTAAATGAATTTATTCATCCTAAAAATACGTCCCTGTTATAATTTCTTTATTAAATGGAACCAACTTAGCAAATTTGTTTTTTTTTTTTTTTAATTTTACATTCATTTATTTATTTGTCGAATCTTCACCCTTAGGCAGTTTTAAAATTTTTAATCTATAAATTTAACTGATGCCCATTTACAGGTTAATTTGCTTTTAAGTTAACCGTCTGGTAAGTCATTTCTTCTTGGGCGGGCTTGTGTTCTGGTTTCGATGTACCAGTGCGTTGCTGTTATAGTTCTAGTTCATTTCCCGTTAGACATAAACATTTCCCACGCCTGTTATCAACAGTCCCCTTGTTATAAACATTTCATACGCCTTTACCGACGACAGCAGACATAAACAAGTGGTAAACTTTTAAACAAAGGGTCCAGCATGAGAACCCATTCATCAGCATAAAAGCTTTGACCAATCCGAATTTAATAAACAAAATGACAACCCACCCATACGGCCACCATTTCAACCAATCGAAATCTTCTGATCGAAGTCCACTTTCGCTGCTAGCGTCGCTGTCACGGATAAAAGCCATAGTTATAAGAATAATGCAATTGTAAAGACAGTTCATTTTTGGGAATTTAACTATAAAACTCTACTGTATATTAATATGTCGCAAAGTGAAAAATCTAATTGGCGCAGCCGGTAGGATACAAGTAATATCCTCCCGAGTGACTACCTAAAAAGGACTTCAAAAAATCACTTCATGAGAAATAAATTTATTTGTATCCGCAAAACGAACTTACATAAAATAATTGTGAAAATAAAACAACAACATTAGTCAAATCACGAATGAGGATTTCTAGTGTCTAAATTCAGCGATAATAATATAATAACTGATATATTTCGTGTAAACAAAAATTTTAAATTTAAAAAATTTATTAAAGTGTAAAAATGGAAATGCCATCAACATCAGCCACAGCCGCAAAAGCAACACCAAATTTACAGACGTGGCCATGAACCATTTTCTTCTGCAACTTAAGCAGATAAACAAATTTAATGGAGACTCTACTTGGCTCTCTTCATAAAGGAAGTTTACCATTATCCGACAACATCAGAAGCCCAACATCAAATTATACAAGCAGTCATCCGAAACCTTCTAATACGAGCCTTCTACGACTAGCCCGAACATTGTTGATGAGAAATATAACACAGGACTGGAAGGAAATAATTTACGTAAGATTTGTTGAATAATTAGAAGAACAAACAAGTAGAATATGTTGTAAACTCAGCTTAGATAACAATCCGTCAAAAACGGTTTTAGTTTCAAGAACTTTGAATGATACATTAGCTGAAGTGATTCGCGAAAAATTTGCCAGTACAAACATATATTACGTTGAGAAAATTTGATATATCAACTCCTCTTAAATTAAAACAAGCTGCCCAAGCTGTAGGATTGTTTGTAGATAAACCTTTAAATACCCGCTCGTATACATCTCAAAACTCTAATGATGACGACGAATATCCATATTTTAGATCAGCAAGAAAATTTTAACCCAAATCAGTTAGATAATGTCAATGTGAAAGAATCCAAAATAATAACTACCAAAATCGATATAACAACAATCAACAGAGACAGAACAAGTTCGACTCTAATAGGAACTGGGGTAATAATAGCAGTTATAACAATAATTTTTCTGGCAATTAATATTATCCTAAATCTTTTCAAAATAATCAAGTACAAAATACCCAGACTACTCAGAGTACTAATATTACCCAAAAACGTGCCCGAACCTCAGATTCAGGTCAACAACGTAGAACTGAGCACAATTGAAAATTTTCAGACAACAGCCTCGGAAGAAACACCACCGTAATAAAAATTAAAATTGATAACAAACTATGCCTCTGTCTTATTGATACAGGCTCAAGCAAAAAATTTAATAAACGAAAACTTTTTAAAATATCCAGCTAAAAATATTTTGACAAAAGTCCAAACGATAGGAGAATCAGTAACTTTAGAGAAATATATCGAACTTAGCATTCCAAAATTATTTTCATCTAAGCAAACATTTTTCTTAAAAAACTTTTCAAATCATTATGATATTCTTAAAGGAAGAAAAATTCTAAAAGAAACCTCAGCCAAAATTGATTTTATGAGAAACACTATTATTCTAAATAATTAGGAATTCCCAATGGTAAATATAACAGAGGAACCTAATCAAACCTTTTCAAGTATAACAAATGCTGACGAATATATTTATGCCATGCAAACTGACTTAACGAATAATTAGTGAAGAGACGATCACTTAAATAATGAAGAAAAAACTGAACTTCATTATTTAATGTCCAATTATTTTGATACTCAGTATCGCGAAGATGACAATTTGACTTTCACGAACGAAATCAAACTCGTAATATAAACAAAACACGATGAACCAAATTATAGGATACCATATAGTTATCCCTACATTGATGATAAATCAAGGTATTATCAGATAATCAAAATCTCCTTATTGTAGTCCTATTGTAATGGTACCAAAGAAAAAGGATGCATCGCGCATTCCCAAATTTTGTATGGCCATTGATTACAGAGGACTCAATGAAATAACTATAAATGATAAAATTCCCATTTCAAACATGGATGAAATATTAGATAAATTAGGTAAATGAAAATACTTTACAACATTAGAACTTTTTAAAGGATTCCATCAAATTGAAATGGCTCTTTACAAAAAACTGCATTTTCCACCAAGAAAGATCACTATGAGTATACTAGGATGCCATTTGGTCTAAAAAATGCCCTCGCGACATTCCAGCGTTGCATGAATAATATTTTATACGACATAATAGGAACCCATTGTTTTGTGTATTTGGACGATATTGTCATATTTTCAACCTCTTTGCAAGAGCATATCCAATCTCTTAAAAAAGTATTCGAACGTCTTCGCAGATTAAATCTTAAACTGCAAGTAGATAAATGTGAGTTTATGAAACGAGAAACTGAATTTTTAGAGTATCCAAATAAGATTCAAGCTATTCAAAATTTTAAAATTCCAAACTCTCCGAAACAAATTAAATCGTTTTTAGGCCTTTGCGGATTTTATCGCAAATTTATAAAAGACTTCGCAAAAATCGCAAAACCAATGACTCTTTGTTTAAAGAAAGGAGCCAAAATAAATGTTAAAGATCCCACTTATAACGAAGCATTTGAAAAATTAAAAACTCTTATAACAATTCTCACATATCCGCATTTCGAAAAAAAGTTTGATTTAACTACAGTTGCAAGCAATTATGCATTAGGTGCTGTTTTATCACAAGAAGGTAAACCTTTTTGTTTCGCCAGTAGAACTTTAAATGAACATGAGTTAAATTACGCAGTTATTGAAAGAATTGAGGAATTACTAGCTATAGTATGGGCAACTAAATATTTCCGCCCTTATCTTTTTGGAAGAAGTTTTAAAATATGCTCAGACCATAAACCGCTTGTTTGGTTACATAATATAAAAGAACCTAATGTGAAGTTACAACGTTGGAAAATAAAACTTAGAGAGTTTGATTATGAAATAAAATACATTAAAGGAAAAGAGAATCATGTAGCAGATGCTTTATCAAGAATTACAAAAAAGGAAACTAAAGATAAAAAAATTGAAAAAGTTTTTCAAAATGATGATGAATTAGAAACTACTGCAGCAACAGTGCATAGTGCACAAGAAGATAATGGCAATTGCATACAGATACACTGAACGACCTATTAACGTTTTTAATCACCAACTAATATTTGACAAAGGAAATAAAGACACTAACGAACTTACTCACTACTTTAACAAATTATTATTATTAATATCGGGGTGTCCAGTGTACCGCGACCTATAAGATCCATTGTACCCCCATTCAGAGCCTACAGCTCAGATATCAACCCACTTCCTCGAATAAAGTCGAGGAGTTTTAGTGGGTTGATTCTTCCTAGGAGCTCAGGTGTAAGAGTTCTGGTTCCTAAGATTTTACATCTTATGCTTGCTAACGCCGGACAGTCTGCAATGATGTGTCTAGAGGTTTCGTCCTCTATGTCGCAGAATCTGCAAGTTCCACTGCTGGTTATTCCCATCTTACCTAGGTGACTTTTCAGTCTACAGTGCCCGGTTAGTAATCCGGTAACGATCCTAAGTGAGTTTTTCCCCAGTTGAATAAGTTCCTTGAACCTCTTCTTGTTATAGTTATTTATTTGAGTTTTGGCTTGCCTTAGACCTGGGGTATTTCTCCAGTGTTCTTGTCTCATGGCGCCTTCCGCTTTCCTAAGGTATTCTTTTATAGTGTGCCTCCCTATGCCACAGTAGGGCTCTGGGCCTACCAGGGGCTGTTCGGCTCCTAGTTTTGCCATTTTATCGGCAAGTTCATTTCCGGATATGTCCTTATGTCCCGGAATCCATCTGAGGGCCAGCCTGTTTCGACTGCCCAGTATATTTAGCTTACTCTTCACCTCTAGGACTAGCTTCGAGGTGATTTTGTTGCTATGTAAAGCAGTAATTGCTGCTCGGCTGTCCGAAAGGATCGATATGTCCTTTTCCTTGTATCCACGCTGTATGTTGAGCTCTGCACAACGTCCAATGGCACATACCTCAGCCTGGAATATGCTGGTGTATTGGCCAAGGGATTCGTGGTATTTTATGCGAGGCCCTACCACTCCAAGGCCCGTGCCTTGTTGTGTCAGGGATCCATCTGTGTACCATGCAATGGTGTGTTTAGCCATCGGATGCACTTCAGACAGTGTGGTCCAATCTTTCTTATTGCCTAGGTGTGCTGTGAAGTTCTGCTCGAAGATTAGTTCGGCTGTCATTTCATCCCTAGTATTAGGGGCACCTCACCTAACAAATTAGTCGCATCCCTGTTATTTAGAATGCAACCACTACCTGTGCCCTCAGTGCTTATTCTCAGGAGTGTAGCTTTGCGTTGGATATCAATCACATAGTGGAGTGGTGTTAGCTCCATCAAAACTTCTAAGGCAGCTGTAGGACAGGTTCTCATTGCCCCTGTCATGCATACGCAGGCAAGTCTTTGTAGTTTTCCTAGCTGGTTTTGCATGCTGATGAGCTTAGCTCGTTTGCCCCATGCAAGTGCTCCGTAAGTGAGGATTGGTCTCACGATCATTAAGTATAGCCATCGTATTATCTGAGGCCTGGTTCCCCAGGATTTCCCAGCAATTTTCCGACAGGTATAGAGTGCTCTGTAACACTTTTCCAATGTCTTTTGGACATGGGAAGCGAAAGTCAGTTTGCTATCTAACGTGATTCCTAGATATTTAACCTCTCGGCTAGTTTCTATAGGAGTTCCTAGCAGTGAGATTTGTCTCATTCTCTGTAGTTTGTACTTCCTTGTGAAAGGAACGATGACTGTCTTAGCAGGATTTAAGTTGAGTCCAACCTCCCTGCACCAGTCTAGCGTTGTCCTTAGTCCGAGTTGGACGATGTCGCAGAGTGTCGCTTCAAATTTGCCTCTGGCGATTATCACGATGTCATCGGCGTATCCTTGACATTGAATTCCTTTTCCAGCAAGTTTGCTGAGAAGGTCATCTACTAGCAGGCTCCATAGCAGAGGGGACAGTACTCCTCCTTGCGGGCAGCCTTTGCTGGTAGCGATTGTTACTCTTTCCGAACCCAGTGTACATGTTGCTTGCCTGGATTCAAGTAGGTTGCCAATCCATTTGCTCGTAGTAGTGTCTATGTTCCTTCTGGACAGGGCAGCTCGAACTGCATCATGTGATGTGTTGTCGAAGGCTCCCTCTATGTCTAGAAAGGCACAGATAGCTATTTCTTTGCTGTCTATTGCCCCTTCTAGGGTGCGACATAGTTGATAAAGTGCAGTGTCTGTTGAACGGCCTGCTCTATATGCATGCTGTGTGTTTTGCAGCGGACAGTCTCTGAGAGCTGTTCTTCTGATGTTGTAGTCTACCAGTTTTTCCCGCGTTTTAAGACAAAACGAAGTTAAGCTGATAGGTCTGAAGGACTTTGGGCTGGTGATGTCTTTCTTCCCGATCTTGGGGATGAAGACCACCCTAGCGCTGCACCATGCACTTGGGATATACCCAAGGGCTAGGCTGCTCACCAATAGTCTTCTTAGGCGGGTTAGGAGTAGTTCCTGCCCCTGCTGTAAGAAAGCTGGAGAGATCATGTCTAATCCCGGTGATTTAAATGGTTGGAAGGTTCCAATAGCCCATTTGAGTTTCTCGGGCGTAACTATAG